CCTTCAAATGAAATTTTTAGAGAAAACTCAAGACAAAAATTTCCCTGTGGCCACTTCGAGGGCCCAGGCAGGAGCACTTGGACTGGCTATTCCACAGCCTTCTTATTATCTCCTCTTTCCTACCCTGGCCTCCCAACAGTGAACTTTCTACAGAGCTGCTAGGTGACCTTTAAACCTGGAATCAGGGCTTGGAGCATCTGCATTAAAACCCTTCAACAGCTTCTCACTGCTCGTAGAATACATTCTTTTTCAAGTTTGTCCTTATTTATTTCGAGAGAGCCCAAGCAGAGGAGGGGCAGAGAGAGACAGACAGAATCCTGAGCAGGCTCCCTGCTGTCAGCACAGAGCGACGCAGGGCTCAAACTCACTGTGAGATCATGACCTGAGCCGAAATCAAGACTCAGATGCTTAACTGACTGAGCCACCTAGAAGCCCCACTTGGAATACATTCTAACTTTTCACAAAGCTCTGCAGGACTGATCCCTGCCTGCCTCTCTGTCATCCTGTCCCTTCCATTCAGCTCCAGTCCCACTCTCCTTTGGTTTCTGGAACACGGCAAGGGTCTTCCTGTGGCTCAGCCTTCAAGTCTCAACACAAACGTCACCTCCTCAGGGAGGTCCTCCCAGATACATTACCCCCATTTACTTCCGCACAGCTCCAACCGCCATCTGTAAATGCTTCTGTTACTGGTTTAGGTCTCTCTCATTGGACTGTAAGTTGCATGAGGACAAGTCGGTGATGGATTCCAGGCATTCCTAGCACAGCGTGCCTGGCATGTAGTTGGCATTTGGTAAATATTTCTTGAATGCAAGAAAGTGCTTCAGTTTGCTCACCTGTATCACGGGGGTCTTAACCCATGCCTCCTAGTTCTGACCCAGTTCTAGGTCAGAGCACATAGTGAATGAATATAAAGGCCTAGCCCAGGCCCATGGCCCAGCACACATAGGAGCTCTTGGACTCCGTTTTGAGAAAATTCAGATCAGATCAGATCAGAGGTGGGGAGGGAAATTCAGGCGGAGACTCTCTGCCAGCAGGGAGCACCACATCTCTTAGTAGCTCCCTACCCCGACCCACCTTTTCCCGGACTCCCCAGAGAAGGTGGCCACTGGCTCAGCCCCTCCCACCCTCTGAGAACAACTCACCTGGGACCAGGCTCCCGTGCGCCACTGGGCTGGGCAGGGCACGCGGAGGCAGGGCCGCCGGGCCTCGGGCCGATCCCCAGGGCAGGCCTTGGCCGGCATGGCCTTGTGGGTCCCATTGGAGAGGGGCAGCAGGCACTGAACCCCCCGGGTCTGCACCCCCAGCTTCCCACAGCTCCGGCTGCAGGCACCCCACTCTTCCATCACCCACCTAGAGACAGACAAAGCAAAAGGTGAAGGAGAGGCGGGACTATGGGGACGCTTCCTCCCAGGGTCCCTCCCACCCCCTGAATCGCTGCGGGCAGGGGCTGGCAAGTGGGTCTGAGCTTCAGAATGCTGGGAGCCAAGACAACCGTCCACGGGCTCTGCAGCTGCCGTAAGGGGGGTCACCTATGATCTCCTCTGCTTCCTCATCTGAAAAATGCACGGGTATGATGCACCTTTACATCTGGCACCCTGCATGTCCGCAGGCAAGTTATGAACATCAGAATTCTTTTCAGCACTTCGTAAATATTGGAGTGTGGGCAGGTACTGTCCTAGGTGCGGAGATACAGCACGAGATTCAAGGCTGGTAGAGTTGAACCCCCGCCCCTGGGGCTCTTGGGACAGTTAAAGGACGTGTATACTTAAAAGCACTTGGCAGAGTGCACGCATGCAGTAGGCATGTAATAAAGACAGGCACTCTTACTATCGCCGTCAGCACCTGCAGAGTTTTGGTGCCGATCAGCTAAGCCGGTGGTCTCCCACCGTCTTTTGGCCACGGAGCAGCTTCCAAGAGCACCGTAAGCAGATACCACTGGATGAATTAGACAAAGACGAAAATGGCTCTGGTGGGGTGGTGGGAGGGGCGGCCACAACCCACTCCCCTCTCAGGTTCCTGAGACATCTTGTAGCGAATGAGGGCTCTTTCGGCCAACCCCTTCCTTTAAAAGACAAAAAAGGCCCCAAACTTCGTTTGGCATTTTACGGATGAGAAGCTGGGGGCGGTGACGTGCCCAGGACCACAGCCGAGTCAGCGCCGCGTGCTCTGTGGCCACAGATGTTGGCGGAGACAGTGGCCGGCATGCCGTGTGAAGGGGGAGCGTGGAGCACTGAGGGGCAGGGGATCCCGCCTGGGCCAGGCACGGAGAGGCCACGGTGGACTCTGCACTGATCCCCAGCTCCTGTCCTGGCCCTGAGGTCCCCCCAGCCTCAGGAGCAGAGCTGCCGTGAATCAGCCAGGCCGAGTTAGACGGCTCGGACCCCAGAAGATTCCTGGGGAGGCAGGAAAGTGGACTGGGCGCTCTGCCTGGGGCCGGGGAGGCGCTGGGGCCATCTCTGTGATGGGCTCAAGGCCACACCTCGACTTCCCGAAAAGTCATAGCTCTTCTCCTCCACGAAGCCCCCTCCAAATAAGCCCAAGAACATGATCTTGTGCCCAAATGAGCCTGTCTCCTCAGGTCAGGGAACCCACTCAGGGGCTAGACTATGGGTGGGGGCCGCCGGACAGCATCCTGGCCTATGCCCCGGCGTCTAAAAGCACTGAGATCGACTTCACCTCAACGTCCCCTCGGATCATCGAGGGAAAGCTGTGTCCCCAAAGTGGGCCTCTGTTTCCCCATCTGTAAAAGAATGCTGGAAGGGGCAGAACAAAGGAAGCATTGTCCTTCTTCTGGGAGCGGAAGTTAATCCGCAAACCCCACAGGGGGACAGACGGGGGCGGATGCGGCCAGACCGGCAAGGAGGGCAGCACTGGCCACGGACGGAGTCCGGTGTGTGGGCTGCTCTGCTCAGGGAGTCCCGGGTGCAGGGGCCGTGACCCTGGACACTCAGGGCCAGAGGAAGCAGCCCCTCCTCCCCGGCCCAGGGCTACGAGAGAGTCAGTGACGCCCATGGGAAGGGGTCAGGCTCCTGGCCATCCCCCGGACACTCACGCAGGCTGGGCACACGGGTGCTGGTTGCAGCGCCGGCGGATGGGCTTGGGCCTCTTCCTGTGGTCACACAGGTGCCGCTGGACCATGTGGTGGTCTCGCCGGCGCCGGCAGCCGTATTTGGTGAACTGGATCCCTGGGGGGAGGACAGGCTGACTTGGGCCACATCCCGCCAGGCCCCCGCCGCTCCGCTGGGTCTCAGGGACGGCACGCTCTGGAGAGCCCGTGCCTCCCCTGTGCCTTTGCACCCCTCTTGCCCAAGTCTCCTTCTGAAGAAGCCTTCCTTGGCCAGCCCATCTCATGTGTCCCTGATGTCGTGCCAGCGGTGCAGGGGCTGGGGCGGGGGAGGCGCCTGGCTCTGCACGGCTGCCTCCCCGCATAGCGGGGGAGCCCTTACAGGGTGCAGGCCTTGCCCCGGTGCTGCTCCCCCACTCCCAGCCCCATCCCCAAGGCTCTGGCCAGGCAGGTGCCACACCCGAGAGATCTTTAAGGGGAAACGGAGGCACGAGCTATGGACACATCAGGTGGAGATAGTGTTGGCCCCCAGCCACTCCTACTCTTCCCCTGCAAAGCCCTGGGCTGCCCCACGAGGCAGCCAGATGGCTGGGCAGGCCCGTACCTCCTCCGCAGGCCTTGGTGCAGGGGGCCCAGCTCTTGAGCGCCCACTCGTAGGTGTCCGTCTCCTCCAGGAGCACGTTGTTGCTCCCAATAAGGGGCAGCAAGTCTTCATGGATGATGTACTTGTAGGCCAGGCTGCTGCGGGGGCCACCCTCAGCTGGGGGGAGCACCTGAGGGGAGACAGAGCAGGTGGCACAGGACTGGAGAGCAGAGAAGCAGGGCCAGCATGGGGGGGGACAGGGAGGAGGGGGGGTCAAAGGAAAGGATGTGGGGTCAGCACCGAGCACGGCCTGGGAGACCATTCAGACCAGCAGCCACGCAGCAAACTCAGGCTAAGCAGCAGGAACAGCCTGCGTGCTCACCTGGGATCATTTTTCTCCCAGACATAAGTCCTCACGAGGACAGGGACCGTGTCTGCTGGTCTGTCTTGCTTACCAGGGCATCTGCGCTACCTGACTCTGGTATGGCCAGGTCTATAGGACTCTGATCAGATATAAGATGGTCTGTAAGCCTCTGATCAGATATATGGTTGCAAATACCTTCTCCCATTCTGCTCAGCTTGTCTTCTCACTGTCTTCACGATGTCTTTCCAATGTACGAAGGTCCTCAATTTCCATGAAGACCAATTTACCTATTTTTCTTTTGTTGCTCATGCTTCTGGTATCATAAGATGCAAGGTCAGGAGATTCCCCCCTCCATTTTCTCTAAGAGTTCTATGGTTTTAGCTCTCTTACTTGGATATTTGATCTAGTTTGAGCTTGTTGTATACGGAGTGAGGTAGGGGTTCAACTTCATCCTTTTACATGTGGCTATCCAGTTGTCCCAGCACCATTAGGTGAAGAGATTATTCTTTGCCCATTGAATGGGTCTTGCTACCCTCAATCATTGGCATAGGTGTATGGGTGGCCAGTACGTATAAGGTGAATAGAAAATACATGCAGAGTGAAATAATACACTGACACCAATAGGCTTCAGACCCTGCCCTCTAGGACCTCCCCGACTAGTGACGGTCGCACCAGGAAAGAAGCCTGTCCAAGCTCTCCCTGGCATGAATCAGCCAGTGTCAGGAGCACCACAGACAAAGCCCCTCCTGGTCTGAGCTCCTGCACTAATAATCCCTGCTCCATAAGCCCCGGTCTATGGCCTAGGAAGAGGGGGTGTGGGAAGAGGTGGACCCCAGCAAGGACAGTGACCGCATCCCCCTCTCCGGAGGCTGGCAGCGTGAGCTGGCACCCCCCAGTCCCTTGCGGGCAATGCCATAATGCAAGCGGACATTGGATGACGCCAGGGCAACAGGGGGAACCAACGCAGGTGCCTCCTCTCATTCCCAGGCCCTGTTTCTGACGCTGCGTGACGGAGAACAGACTCCCTCTCATAGCAAGACAACCGTTTCTTTCTCCCTCCTCATGTGCGTCCTGCCAGCCTTTGTGCACAGAGGGCATCTAGGCCTTGGCCTTGGCCAGGCTGCTAAAGACACTGCAACACCGCTTCCGACGGGGCTGCGCTGGCTCAACAGTGAAGACTGGGGAGACTGGGCTGGGGCAGCAAGGGGGTGGGCAGGGGCCACCGTACAGGGTGGGGGCTCACCAGGACGGCGATGGCTTCGGGCAGGGGCCCACTGGTCTTGAGGCTTTCCTTGGCGTCCTCCACCACATACTCCCACTCCAGGCCCATTGCAGTAAAGGTCCGGCTCATCGCTTCCTTGCCCTTGGGGTTGAGGATGAAGCTGCCTGTGACCTGGTTCTTCACCGCTGGCCATGGGGAGAGGGTCACACAGATTTCTATTCCCCTCCACAGGAACACTAGCCAGACCTCCTTCTGGGGCTTCGAGACCTTCCTAGTGGATCCCCTGGGGCTCCCTATGACCTGTCACCCCTTTCCACCAGAACCTTCCTCAGTCAGATGAGTCACTGCACTGGCTGCACGCAGCACCCCTGCCTCTAAACCCTGGCACACCCATTCCTCCCACCGTCTTCCCTCCTTCCTGTCTGACCAATCTTCACTCCTATGGAAGGCTCAGCACAATGTTCCCCTCCTCCAGGAAGGCTTCTTTTCTTTAAAAAAAAAAAAAAAAAAGTAAGTTTTCCTTTTATGTATGTATTTTTTTATTTTTAAAAGAGAAAGGGAGAAAGTGGGGTAGGGGCAGAGAGAAAGGGAGACAGAGAATCCCAAGCAGGCTCCATGCTGTCAGCACAGAGCCCGATGCGGGGCTCGAACCCACGAGAGATCACGACCTGAGCCGAAACCAGGAGTCAGACGCTGAATCAACTAAGCCACCCAGGCGCCCCCAGGAAGCCTTCTTTGATTGCCCAGTCCTCGGGGGACTTGCCCTCCCTTCTACAGCAGAGCACGAGGCTAAAAACACAGGCCCTGGCACCAGATTGATCTGGGGAAGTTACTTAGCTGCCCTGTGCTGCTTCAGTTTTGCCATCTGTAAAATGGGAATGCTAATCATCTGTAGCTCATAGGGCTGCGGCCGCATGAGGATAATCGCAGTACCCCCCTCCCACCTATCCACTATGGGGTCCTTGGGACAATTAAAGGAGTCCATAGATGTAAAGGACTAGGCAGAGTGCGTGGCATGCAGCTGGCATTCAATAAATGGGAGGCACTATGACTGCCATCAGAACAGGGCCCGAGTGTTAGCACTGGTGCCTGTCTCCCCCACAGCCTGTCAGTGTATCTCCCCCGTCTTGGTGTCCTTGGGGCCTGGCACAGAGCGAGTCTTAGAAACACCTGTAAATGTCCACCCCTTAAAGTCCCGCTGAGTGAGTAACCCGTAACTTGTTATCGAAAGGTGTCGGGTGGCAGCTGGGTGGGAGGTGTGCAGGTGCAGACGGCCTGGCAGAGGCCCCTGCGTCACAGCCTCGGCCACCCTGGAGCAGGCTGGTGAAGGGCTGCAGCCTCGGACCCGAGCCCCTCAGCCCAGGCGGGGGAGCAAAGGCTCTGGAGCCCTGGGGTGTCCCCACCTGGTGCCGACAAAAACCATCCAGGGTAATGACGAGACCATAAGAGCCAACGATTCAGAGCACTCACCATGCACTGGTCACTCTGGCGCCCGCCTCGGCGGAATCCTCACACACATCCCAAGGTTGGTGCTGTTATTGCCCCAGAAGGGGACCTAGAGACCCGCGAGGGGCAAAGGTGTCTCCTGGACACACAGGGCGCTGGTGGCCCAGCCGTCTGGAGGACCGGCCTCCCTGCTGAGCGAGAGGAGAGATGCCCCTCATCTCTCGATGCCTGATCCCTCTCTGCCCCCAGAATCGCCAGACCTGGAGCCAGAGCCGGGCCCGGCCTCAAGTCTCCCCACGGCTCTGTCTGCTACCCTCTCAGCAGCCGCCGTCCCCAGCCCTGGCTGTACACCCTCCGGTGGGCTGCGTGAACCTCTGAGTCCCGGCCCTACCGCTGACCCCACTCTGGACCCTGAGCATACCCCAGCCTCGTTTCACTGTGCTTCCCTTCATCATGCTTCACAGAGTCTGCATTGTTTACAAACGGAAGATCTGCAGCAGCCCTGCGCCGAGCAAGTCTGTTGGTGCCTTTTTTCTGACAGCCATTTGCTCACATTGGGTCTCTGGGTCACAGTTTGGAAATTCTCGCAGTATTTCCAACTTTTTCACGATTATTAAATTTGTCACGGTGCCCTGTGACCAGTGATCTTTGATGTCACTATTGCAAATGTTCGGGGACACCGTGAACCCCACTTATTTAAGACAGCACACTTGGGGCGCCTGGGTGGCTCAGTCGGTTAAGCGTCCGACTTCAGCTCAGGTCGTGATCTCACAGTCTGTGAGTTCGAGGCCCGCGTCGGGCTCTGTGCTGACAGCTCGGAGCCTGGAGACTGCTTCCAATTCTGTATCTCCCTCTCTCTCTGCCCCTTCCCCGCTCATGCTCTGTCTCTGTTTGTCTCAAAAATAAATAAAAACATTTTTAAAAAAATTAAAAAAAAAAGACAGTAAACGTAACGGATACATGTGTGTGTTCGGATTGCTCCCCAATCGACCATCTCTGTCCCTCTCCTCGGGCCTCTCTGTTCCCGCAGACACAACACTATTGAAATCAAGTCAGTTAATGACCCTGCAATGGCCTTTAAGCGTCCAAGGGAAAGGAAGAGTCACATGTTTCTCACTTTAAATCTAAAGCTAGAAATGATTAAGCTTAGTGCAGAAGGCATGTCAAAAGCCAAGATGGGCGAAAAGCCAGGCCTCTCGTGCCGAACGGTCAGCCAAGTTGGGAAGGCAAAGGAAAAGTTCTTGAAGGAAACTGAAAGTGCTACTCCAGGGGCCTGGGGCGGTGAAGTGGCTCAGTCGGTTAAACAGCCAACTTCGGCTCAGGTCATGATCTCGCAGTTTGTGGGTTCGAGCCCCGTGTCAGGCTCTGTGCTGACAGCTCAGAGCCTGGAGCCTGCTTCGGATTGTGTGTCTCCCTCTCTCTCTGCCCCTCCCCCATTCGCGCTCTGTCTCTCTTTCTCTAAAAAATAAACATTGAAAAAAAATTAAAAAAAAAAAAGATCAAACCAGCCACAACATTCCCTTAAGCCAAAGCCTAACGCGGAGCAAGGCCCTAACTCTCTTCAGTTCTATGGAGGCTGAGAGAGGAAGAGGAAGAGAGCGAGGAAGCTGCAGACAAAAGTTCGAAGATAGCAGAGGTTGGAGAAAAGAAGCCATAAAAGCACAAGGTGAAGGAAGCAGCAGGTGCTGATGTCGAAACTGCAGCAAGTTTTCCAGGAGATCCAGCTAAGATAATTCACGAAGGTCACTACAAACAACAGATTTTCAATGTAGATGAGACAGCCTTCTGTTGGAAGGAGATGCCATCTAGAACTTTCACGGCTAGGGAGGAGTGTCCGTGGACTGTCCCGAGGCCTACGTAAGGTAATGGATGACAAGTGCCAGCTCGAGGCCTGGCACACGGTAGATATTAACAGCACGGTTCTCTTCCCTTGACTTCCTTTCAAAGAAATCAAAGCCCCCAAATTCCAGGAGAGTCTAACGAGCTTGGACGGGGCCTTGGCTTTCACTGCCAAGACGGCCACCTGTCCTGGATGTCTCCAGAGAGCACGCACATACCATTTCAGGCACGTGCACAGACACACGCTCACTCTCAATACGTGCAGCTTGCACATTTCCACGGCGGGCTTGCCGCATACCTCACAACTGTGCAATCACACAGTGCGTGCCAATGTCAGGTTTCCATCCCACTTCCCTCCCCGCCCAGCTCCTGGGAGTTCTAACCCTCCAGGGAACTCACGGGCGAGCGTGCCCACACTGAACCTGCCCTGGGTTCTAGAAGCCTCTGCCCCGACCCCCATGGAAGCCCGGCTGCAGCCTCCACGGAGCACTCCTCGCTGCCAGCAGACAGAGGAGCTAGACGTCCACAGACAGGGGTGGGGGCTGGGAGGAGTGGGAGGGCTGGCTGGGGAGGCCCCAGGGGCTGCTAGTATTATGGAATCGTCTGAATCATCCGTAGGGGTGTAGCAGGAGGAGCGTCTGCAAGCTCCTCCCTCTTCTGGAGTCAGCGGCCCTTCTCTCCTTGCCCCCTCCCCTCCCCTCCCCTGGCCCCTGTTCTGGCACAATCCCCCGGAGCCAGACAGGCAAGTGGGCAGGGAGCTGGCCAAGCCAAGCCCTCCTGACTCATACCCATGCAGAGTGGGGCTGTGGGCAAGGGCCCGGGGCTGGGAGACAGGAGAGCCTGGTGCAGACTGGCTCACCGCGTGGGGGAATCAGGGTACACAGAGGGCCCACAATCCACCGTGGACCTCAGTTTCCCCCTGTGCTTCTTGTCTATTTGCACTACACCCTCTCAGGCGCCTTCCGGAGCAGGTTATAGGGCGTATTCTGCAGGGGGTGCAAGTTTCCCAGGAGGCTTTCACACGTTTTCTGTCATGGTGATGGTAATCTAAAAATACGAATATCGGCATTTTTGGAATACATGAGCCTGCCCAGAGATGTTACGTTTTGCATTCACGTCCATGACGAGGTGGTGACATGCGGTGTGGCCTGGCGAGCACAGTCGACTCGAGGGGCCTCTGGGACATGCTAAGTAAGGCCCAGCGACACCATGGCACCCATGCCCTCTGTAAGGGGTCTGAACAGACAAGTGCGGGAGGATGCAGCCACTCCCCAGTGTCAGGGAAGCATCCTTCTGTCTGCCTGCCCCCGGGACCCTGCTCCAAACCATGCTTACATGTTTTCAATTGAGATGTAATTCACGTACACGCACTCAGCCTTTGCAAGTGTGCAATTCACTGACTACTGGACCACTGCCCGATTCCAAGACCCTTCATCACGCCCATTTGCAGATGCCCCCATCCCCCTCCCACCGGCCCCTGACCACCACTAAGCTACTCTCTCGTGTCCACGGATTTGCCCGCCCTGGACATGTTCATTTCTTAACCACCGACTTGGTTTCAGCACAAACAGAACAAAGCAAACAAGTAAGCACAAAAATCTCTCCCTTTACGTTAATGTTCTCAATTTGAATTCTGTCGATTTCTTTTGGGGCCAGAATTTTTCATCTCTCTTGGCTTTAGAGTTGTATAACTCTCATAAGTAGTGCCTAAGTGACTGTGTTTATGTGTCATCAGATAAGAAGGATTTAAGGGTCCGTGTGTCAGACTGGCTGCAAATTCCTCCTCTTCCTATGCGCAGGCCTCTTTGCACTGGGACTCTACCGTACTTCCCACCAAGAGATCGTCTGTTTCTACAGCTTGAGTCTGGGCTTGGCCATGACACCTGCTTGGGCCGATGGGATGCTACAAAGCATGACACAAGTAGAGACCTGGAAAGTGTTTGCACACTGGGGCTTGCCTGCTCTTGCCCCCACTGAGGACCATGTGACAGACCACATGAATAATCCCAGGCTAGCCTGCCAGGGACACGGCCCTGTCACCCCTGTCACCCCAGCTGACAGCCAGCACCAACAACACCTACAGCCCCACCAGATGCTGCATTCGCACGAGTTGAGTCCAGGCACAGGAGTAGAAGTAGCTCCAGCTGGGCCCAGCCCAAACTCATGGCCCACAGAACCATGAGCTAACACAAACACTTGTTAGAAACCATAAAGTTTGGGGATGGGATGTTAGACAAGCAAAAGTTGACTGATACATTCTATGAAAACGGTTTTCTTTTGCGTACAACAGATGGACCGTGGCTGCCCCTGGGGAAGAAACTGATCCTGGAGGGCAGACGTGGGAGGGGGAATCTTCACTGGATCCCCATTCACACCTTCTGACATTCGAAGCATGGAACGGGGTGTCTACTTAGCCTAAGTTTAAAAAAATGTTTCTAAGGGTTCCCTGCATTAGACTACTCTCCTCTGCCCTCCCAGCTCCCCATACTCACCAATGTGGTGGGGAACCTTCTCCAGCTCCTCGATCTGGATGTGCCTGGCACCCGCCGGGATCTGGACCAGTTTGAGAGCTCCTGCCACAGAGCAGGATCCGGAAAAACCGTGAGCATCTTGAGCTGGTGGCCCCACTGCCCAGCACACCCCGTCACCCCCCACCCCCTGCATGTGCCCAAGACCCTGTTTCCTCATCTGTACAATAGGAAGGGGGGACCCTTGCCCACAAGGCGCCGAGAGGTTCAAATGAGATGCTATGGCTTAAAATGCCCTAAAAACTCTAAGGGCTGTGGCGGGGGGGGA